GGAGAGATGTCGGAGGCCGGATCAGTGCTAGAAAAGCCTCCAGCGCCGGCCTCCAATCGGATCTCTGTGAGCGGCGACGGTTTAGTTAAGAAGATGAAAGAAAGAGAAAAAGGGCGAACTTATGGATCATCATGTCCCATATATGAGAATATATCTCCATCTGATTATGATATGAAATCTCATTTATGAACAAGAGGTGATAAAACAATATCATCTGGTGTACTTTAGAAACAATCATCCTTGTCTGAAATACTAAACCGAGATTATTGCATGAAGTTTGGGATATGATTTTAAGAGAGAAGACTAAAAGTTAATGATTTGACGATTGAAACATAATCAATAGTTGCAACATGGTTCCATACACCATTTCTCATACTGACACTTCTCAAACTGCCACACATTGAAAAATAGATTCCGAAGTCTAAATGAATGTTGGTTTTGCGCAAGTCATTGAGTGGCTCAACATTTTCCTCAACGGGATTTCGAAAAATTAACTCCATTTTAGTACCTTATCTCTTTCAATACCATCCACCACACATAAACCAATACTATTGACGAGTTCAACAACTTAATTTTCCAATCGAAACAATTGATAAATCTCCCTTTACCTATAAAGTAAATTTTACAACTCATGGCAACTATATATGATAGTAGGAGTGGAATTAGAGAGGGATAAGAAGTAACCAGACCAATTAAACCTCTTTCACAACATTCTTGTTAAAACCACGTGTGATTCAATTTGAAAGAGCTTCAATTGGTCTGGTTACTTTAGTGTTAACAATTTACTTAAATACTAGAATCAATGATTAATAACACTTGATTTCGCTAACTTGGATGTCAAAATCAATTCACATCCATAAAAATTTACCAATAACATCCATTTAGTGAATTAACCATACAAATCACTAGTCATATAGATTACTACATATTTTCCACGCGTTGTATGGGTATAAATATAACATGGTAAAAGATGCAAAAATATATAGTTTATTAATTATTTGTGTATTTAATATCACATGAATTTGCTGTCTATAGTAAATAATTACCTAAGATAAAAGACTAAACATTTGTAGCAAATGGTTGGACATATACAATGTTATATGTAAAAGGAAATAGACCGTTCATTAATAAAAAATACAGCATATGGAAGACAGCTTCTTTAACACAAATCCTTAACTTGTATACCTTTATTAATATTCACTACGGTTCCCTAAAAAAAAAAATTGGTCGTCTATTTTTGCATCAAATATGTTTGTAAAAATCTATTGATTTAGACAAATTGTAGTATACTTTGCTTCTACCTAGACATATGCTTCATCTCAACTGAGGTGTTGGAATGCATCTTTCTGTTTATTTCATTAGAATCTTGAATTGTATAGAGAGAATAATTGATATTTCATTGTATTTTTGTCTTACTCTATTTATCGTTTTAC